GCAATTCCCATACTCCCTGGTTCAGACCAAAGTTGATAGCAGTGATTGATTGTGTCGGTTGATTTTAACAGACCCAAACTGTTGTTCAGTGAACAGATCGGTTCAGCTCATCTGCCTCCGTACCTGCGGGAGGGGTGCAGGTACACGGGGTAATTTTTCCAATCTGGTAGGGTCCATTTGCATGAGCCTTCTGAGCCATGAGAATCGACGAGGGGATTTGTAGCACGGGAGCGGCGCGGTGCCCGAGTGCCCCTCGGCTCCCGTGGGCGCTGCTGTGAGCAGGGGCGCGTCCCGAAGCCTGCCCCCACCCAGGCTGTTCCTGCAGCTTCCCGCTGTTCCAGCAGCTGTGCCCAGGGCGCGCCTCTGCTCCCTGTCCCCACACGCCGGCGGGCGGGCGACAGTCGCGCCCGTTTATCAGGATGGTGAGAGCTCTTGTTTCTGGCCTCAGAGGCAGCTGGAAGCAGGAATTTGAATGTCTCCCAGTTGACACTTGATACATGAGAAGTAACGTCTGCTTGCCTTTCCGCTTTCTCTCCCAAATCTGCTGGGTTTCCTGCTCGTGGGGCATACTGCGTATTCCCCCGCCACGTGGCACCGTCTCTCCTGCTCCTTTCAGCTTGAGTGGGGCTTGTGGTGGGAAGCCTGCTGGAAGCTGCTGAGTGTGGACATCAGGAGAGAGGAGGGAAGCAACGTGTCTGTCGGGTGCGAGGCAGATTGTACCATCTAATCCCCCGGCTGTCGTCTGCAGCATTTGTCAAGGCCTCCGCTGGCCTGCTCCATTTCATCAGAGGTATCACTTGCATTCATCTAGGCTGGCAGCATTTCAACAGCTGTTAATCCTCTTTGTATCGTTAAACACTGTGACCACTGACAAGCTTCTATACTCTGAGGCGTCAAAATATCTCAAGATAGCTGTGGTGATGGTGTCTGAGTTTTTTGTTTAATCGAAACACCTTCTGATCTACTGACCCAGACTGAACCCGATGGAGAAATCCATGTCCCACTGTCAGCTTTTTGCTGTCGCTGCTTGACGTTCACTAAGAATTTTTCCTAAAATCTTATTAATTTCTAAGTTCCTCATGCTCTCATTGCTTGGTTTTCTGTTTTACATGTTACCACAAGTAGTGCATGTTTCACTGAAGTTGTAAGGAATGTGGTTTAATGTCAATGTGAAAATGAGCTGGCAGGGCTTTCTTTTTATGCTTCAGTTGCTTTCCCTCCTGAAATAACCCTGAGAACTCCATCTTCTCTATATTGTTTTCTTACTTTCTTTGCTATACGTTGTGTAAAGGGCCTTAGCAGTGTAGCGAGGTGGAGTAGTGAGTGCTGGAGTTTCTTTGCATGCTTGCAGCCAAGGACGAATGCTGAATTAAAACTACTCCAAATTTAGCTCTGAGTTTGAGAATTGATTACCTTTGGAAGGGGATTTTTTTTTTAGTGCAAAAGTGTTTTGGGAAGAATGGGGAGCAAGGGTATAGCAGCAAATCTGTTGTAGAAAAGCAGCAGGGTAAAGGAAAGTGGTTCTATTGGTCTTTATGCTCTGGTTATGTATTTCTGTAACTTCTCGGTGTTTTTATTTGCTACAGACCATCATTTAATAGCAGGGGAAAATTTTTCAAACTAACATTTCTTTGTTTAGTTTGTTTGTCCTCTCTGGAGAGCTCTCTCCCCATATGACAAAGCTCTGATGTTCTGAAGTTGGGTCCCCTAAGGCTCAGCTTTATTGAGAGAAGTGAAACATTTTAGATGGTTCATTCATTCTTTCTGTGCCTCTTGTTATTTGAGCCCTTATGGTGTCCTTTGGTCATATTTTTAAACGTATTTCTGCAACTAAGGCTGCCAGAAGCTTTATTTAATAATAGTTGAGGTCTCATGTTCAACGTTTTCTTAGTGAGCTGCCATTTTATCTCCAGCATCAAGTACTGTAAGAGTAAATTAAAAGCAGCATTGATGTCTTGTAATTTTGTGTTGAGTGTTTTCTTATTCACTGTGCAACCTAATACTGTTTTATGATGCTGAAGGACTTCCCTAAGACAATGAGCAGCTCAGACTTTGTTTCAAGTACAAATACCCCACCTTGATCCTTCTGAATAGCCATCGTGTGTGGGCAGCTCTGCTGAAGTCACTGGAAGTGCATAGGTGGTTCCTGGCATGGTTCCTCATTTGCAACCTTATTATAAAGTCCCAGATTTTTGTAGGCTGTGGGAACATTATCCCCTGCCATAGTGTGGTAGGTAAAATACTGAAAATGAATCAGGTCTTGCATCTGAAGTCATATAAATGAGGATACTTGGAGAGTTATTTTCTGTAAGTAGAAGCCCCAAATCACAGAACCTGCTGTGACTGCCCATGCTGAAAGGCTGGTCTATTGCTCATGGAGCCCATTTGTTCCTCGTTTAGTGTTTAGGACAAAAATGAATTTGACTTTCCCAAGGTAGGAAAGGGCCTAGAGGCAAAGGAAAACCTGTTTAACAAGTCTGCTTGTTGAACGAACCCAGCTTTAAACAGCGAAAATCTGTTCTTACTTGGGGAAGCATTTAAAGGTTCAGATTCATAGCACTGGAAATACTGCTTCATTGATTTTTAGGGGTTTTGAGGTGGAGAGGGAAGAAGGTGGCGGAGTGGTTTGATCCAAAGACAAGAGGCCTGGTTGGATCACATGCAAAGATGTTTCCTTTTCATTTTTAAAACACAGCAGCTTTCATCTTCAGGTTGAAGGTCTGCTGTGCCCCTCCTTGATCTTCACATCGTGCCGTGTGCCTTGTGGTTTCTTTGAGGCCGGGTCTCTCCTTTCCCTCACTGAGATTCTTGCCTCTCCATTCAGCTTAGCACTTGCCTGCTTTTATCAGTTTTAGGATCCAGAGCTATTTCAAACTGGTTTCTTTCTCCACTGTTTTTGTCAGTGCTCGTAGATGATGTTGAAGATGAGGCTGACCGTAGTACTGGGCAGTTGAACGCTCTCTAATAAACTAGGCAAGGTTGTGCCACAACCACTTTAATCTACAGTGCAACCAGCAAATGACTCTGTTGGCTATTTTTCCTTTCTATAGGTGGGTTAAATGCCAGCCTCATGCTGGGTCTCACGTACAACATATTTGTTCCTGTTTTCCTCTCCTGCTGCTGTTTCACTGCAGAATGCTGCAGGCTAATAGTATCTGACGGGGCTACTTCCTATTGCCTGAAAAATGTTTAATTTTACTACCTTGCTTTCTCTCTTTCCCAGTTTCTCTCATTTTGATCTTTCAAATCCAGTCCCTTTGAGAAATCAGACAGTATGAAATATGAAAATTGCTTGAGTAGTAATTGGAGAAATGGTGAGACTTATGAAGCCCATGGAGATAGCGCTTACATCTACTTATTCACATTATTTAATTTTTAATGGCAAATTTAATTAATGAAGCACAGGTCTTGTGGTTTCATGTGTGAATAAGTAACAGCAGGGAGCTGAAAGTCATGAGGTCTGTTTACAGGGTGGAGAAAAAGGCTCCATTAAAAGCTGAACTTTTCATTATAGGAAGGAGAAAAATGGGTTTAATAGCATAGAAGTTTGACCATTATGTAACAAGTAAATGAAAACATTTAAGAACAATTTGCTGGCAAAATGTGTTTTGAAGTCGTTGCTCTTCCATGATTTCTCAGTTTAAGTCTGTCTCCTAGGTCAAAGTTTGAAAAATCAAAGTCTGTTCTGTGTTTTTTTCGGTATGTGACATAAATTCAGGCACCAGAGATAAAACGCTTAAATGTAACACCTTGAAGCCTAGGCTCTGAAAACCTGTATAAGCCTTCCAATTAGCTAAGCTTCACACAACTTCAGTGATACAGGCAGCTGTTATCCCTCGCTTGCAGATGGAAAATGGTGACTCGCCCATGATTGCACAAGTGGCAGAACTGCTAATAGAACTTGAGTTATATCTGTCCTTTCCTTTTTCTAACCACTGAACAATATGTGTCGTCTCATCATGCGCAGGACCACAGCTGCATTTATGGGAAAATAAATGAAGAAGGGTAAGAATAGTAGTCTATATAAAATGACCAAATTTGGGGAGAGATGAGATAGCAGCTAGAACCAGCCCTAAATGAATAGCTGTCCTTGCTTTCAATACCATTTTGTCACTTTTTTGACTGATTATTGCATATTTTCTGCATGTGCCTTTTCAGACTAAGGGCCTTGCAGATGAACTTTGAGTGAGGTAATTGCAACTATTTCAGTATATAGTCCAGAGGCTTTGCCTAAAGCAGCTTTATCAGCAGTTTAATGACACAAGACCTTGCAGTGAAATTGCTGGGGGTGCACAGCCGTTCCCTTCTGCTGCTTGTGCTTGGGAGGCTTGTAACTGCAGCTGAGAAGAGGAATTCGTCCTCCGTGTTCAGCACTGAGCAGTTGTGAACTAAAACTCTTTTCTATGCAAGCTCAGGAGAATTTAATGCAAACCTCTTAAGCCCTGCAGCAAGACACTCCAGACTCTGGCAGCGCCTTAACTGATACCTGATACGCCTCCCTGTGTTGTTAAAAGGGAAACAGCCTGCATAATTTTCTTTTAAAGAATAAGTAACATAAGTAGAAGCACTGTAATGTAAAATGGATTTTCCAGTGCTATCGGCCAATTTTGATACTTGCATGTCAGTAACTTACAAGACCCTTCACAGCAATTAATGGAAAAAAAGAGAACAAAACACAACCTGCCTAAGAATAACTTGGTGCTGGAAACACCTTGTTTTTGTGGTTACATGGAATAATCAAAGCTGACTGTTGGTTGTCAGCGACCTTTTACCCTATTTCCCTTCACAAAGGTGAAGCGCAGAATGGGGGACGTGTTGTAGCCTTGATACATTTTGCTGAAAAGAAGATGAACTTTTAAGCATTTTTTTGCGTGTTCTTTGAACTGAATATGCTGTTTGTTGTTGGAAATCATTATTAATTATAGAAGATAACTTTGTGACGGGGTGAGATCTGAGAACCCTTTAATTTGTAGAGCTGACCGTTATATTCTTTGTTTCAGAATGCTGAGATCTACAAGCTGACATCGGAGCAGTACCAGGAGGCAGCCACCAAGGCAGAGGAGTTGATAAAGTGAGGAGCCATTTTTGTTGTTTTCAGCAGTTCCAGTTGCATTTCATAACGCTCTGTGTGTAGGCTCTGGATATTCCTGTAACCAGAATGTGAAGTTACCTCCTGTCAGGTATTTAGGGGTCTGAGGAGTTGTAAGCTCACATCCTCTTTCTGTGCCAAACTTGGCAGAGTTTACTATAAAGTTGTTAGATCTTGTGAGGGACAATGAGGAAATTTCACATTAAATAGGAATATTTATAAGACAATGTTTTATCTGTTCAAACTTTGACCTGATGCATTTAAACCCTCCCACTGCAGCACTGGGCTAGTGCATGAGAGTAGGCAGAATGGCACTGCTTCTGAAGTTTTCATTGTCCAGGGAAAAAGAAGGTAAGCAGGCTAACTCTTAACCCTATAAATTTCAATCAAAATAGTAATTATTATGGATGCTTTCCTAGAATGGGTGAAGTGATTTTCCTGGCCATTTTTTATTTGCCTTGGCACAGTAAGCAGACCTTTAATGCTGTCTTCTTACCTTGAGCATATTTAGTGTCTAAATTCCACTTGTATTTTCCTGGAGTGCTATATAGCTTATTGTTCCACATGCACTAACACCTGTCCAAGAAAAAAAAAATATTTTCTGTAATTCTTTAATATTGATGAGTCCAAAGCAATTACACTGTCAAGAGCAGCACTCGGATCTCAGTTGGGTAAACAGTTGGCCAACATGCAGTAAACCAGAGTAGCAACATATGCAGTCCAGTTGGGTCCAGTCCAGACTGTATGATACTTAATTGCATAAATAGATAATATAGTAGTGATGAATATGTTAGTGGGGTGTGCAGTATATTGTGCTATCTTTATTTAAAATTATGTTTGGCTGCTTTGGCAGCCACCATAACCTGTTGTAATTTCACATTTTTGTTTGGACAGTCAAGCAGTAAGTTGCTAAAGAAGCCAAAATAAGGCAGCTAACACATTGTGTGCATTTTCATGCAGTTTTCCATAGTAGAATTCTAAATTCTGTTTTTATATATTATTTACTTGGTAGGATATGAAGTTCTGAAGGTCTTTGGTCAGGTCAGTCTTTTCTTGGATTTGCTTCTGCAGATGTGCAATCAGTTTTTTAGAACACATATAGAATGATTTATCCTTGTGACTTCGTAAAGCAAGAGATTGGGATCTTAGCTTATGTTATTTACTGGTTGTTACAGACTGTAACTATCCTATGTTTTATGGTAGTCTTAAGTTTAATTCCTAAGGTTTAAGTTTCATTTAGTGTCTTGTGTTTCTTGTGGAGATGAACACTGGTAATGTAGGAAACTCAGGAATGCAACTATTTCTCATAAAAGTTAGTGGCTGAGACCAACTCAAATGCCAAGGACTCTTTTCTTTCAGGATTCAGAAACTGTGTTTATGATCTGTTAAGGGTTCCTCCCCATTTTCTTTGAGCCTTTATCATCTGCCAGTCCCTGGCTTCTGGCCTTGTTGTCTGATACTTTTCTGTTTGATGACAATATTAACTTGAGCCATCATAAAGGAATAGATTCCTTAGATTGTCTTCCTTGCAGATGAAAGAGACACCCTCCCTAATGTGAATTTTGTGTGAAAACAGTGTGGTTGGGGGATGCCTTGAGCAGGGACAAGCTATGTGGCAATAGTGAAAGAGGGAGAAGGTGAACATCATATTTTCTATTCCCCTTCTGTGGAAACTGCCAGCAACAGCCAGGATTGCACTGAGCTGCGTGTTGGAGTGCACGATCTGGGATGGATCATGACCTTTGATAGTTGTACATATGGGAAGAGTCGTTGCATTGCCCCACCAGCCTGCAGCATGCATGTCTCGTTCAGCAGCATGCAGTGATCCTTCTTGGGGTTGTTGCCTTAGTGTACAACACACTGTGTACACACTCTTGAAGAGTACATGTGCCTCAAGTGAGGGTCATGGTAAGACTGGGAAAGGGTCAGGGGAACTTCCTTTGTACATTGGCATTCATGCTTAATTGGTAGGACTTGAAGCCTACATTTGTGAGATTCTCTTGGACATTCTACAGTCGAATCTTTTTACGGCCTCTTTATAGTGATAAATTACAAGATCCTGTGACACCAGTGGAAAGAACAGTTCGCTCATCGTGTTTTGCACTTTCTTATTAGACATACAAGCACAGTGAGTGCTGAGATAGGTAAGACTGATTTAAGCAGATCTAACACCTTGGTTGGCAGGACTAAACTGACACTCTAGCAAAATTACATGAACTGGAATATAGCCAAAGTATGACTGCACCACAGGTCTGCCTGCTTCCTGTGCTGGACTGCAGCAGCCCCCATAACAGAAGGAATCCAGGAGTGGCACTTCCTCCATCTGTGGAGGAGAGTGCACCTCCTTCCTATGGTGCTTCATCCTTAGCTTATGTCACCCCTGTTTCACTGAGCTTTTTACCCTGCCTCTGACACTTGTGCCTTGTGAGACCAGTCTACCCTGTATTTGTTGTCATCAGCACAGCTGATGGAGGAAGAGGGGAACAGAGCTGGGGCTGTTTCCGTAATGAGTACCCTGGCTTTTGTAGTCCATGATGATGCAAAGCTAAGAAATACCTGAAACAAACCCCCAGTGTCTTATTGGCATTTATTGACTTTTGTAATTCTGTTACGAACACCTACAGCTCTGCACAAGAGGTCAAGAGTTGCAGGGACTATCTCCTCTTCTTAGTGATTATCAATTATTGCAAGACTTAGGAATATTGTGCAAGCTTTCCATCAGTGACCCTTCACAGTATGCCTGGGATGTAGGCAGGTAAGCCTCCACATCTCCCTTTGTATAGAAACAGAAGTGAAGAACTTAGTGCTGAGCTTCCTATTAAATCACCGACAGAGTCATTAGCTCTTGGTTTCGTCTCTACCTAGGACACTAGGCTTGATACTTGCATAGTCTGACTTGTCCAATGGACTGTTCCTCATCTCTCTACCTAACCCCAACCTTCTTTTGTCTCTGTTTCTCGTACCACTGTGTCTTCTTCTTTGTTCTGGGTTTTGTCCAACCTGTTTCTTTCTCCCAGAAAAAAGATCCTAGCAACAAGAAATCACTGAGCACAGCTTTCAGCACCTTAGGCAACTTGCCCTTGTTGCTTACATGCTGTGGTGAATTGGACAGTTGCCACAGACATATTGTCTCAATGATGTTATAATTGGTGTATTATTATTTTACTCTTTTGTTAACCAACAGAATTAAAGTCTGGGGACCTACAACTTTTTCCCCCCCTTCTTTCCCCTGTTTAGCAAACTGTGCACATCAGTAGCCACCCACAAAGGAAGCGGCGTGTAAATAAAAAGCCAGTGCTCCCCACCCTTCACTTCGTTCCACATCCTTTTCTCAGTGTTCATAGAGCCATGACTTAGACTGGGTTTAGAGAAGAAAACTTGCTAATCCCCTCCCTGCTACAGAGAATAAAACAGCATTTCATTCCAAGCTCTATTAATGCACTCGCTCTGGGGATAAAGCAGCACTCCCGAAAGGCAGTGGCCAAATTTTTTCTGTTGCGTTGTCTTTGTCTTCTTTTGAGTGTTACATTTAGATTAGCTTCCGAGGATTAAATGTTATTACAGTCCCTGAATCTGTTAAGGGGAAGGAAAAAACCCATCAGTAAAGAGGTTAGGGCTTAGTGCAGGCACTCTAGATTTATCCTCAAAATGCTGTTTTTAAAAATTTATTTTCTTTTGTGAAGATTGTCTTATCAAGTTTTTTATTTTTGTAGTTGTTAAATTTGGATGCAAGAATTGGCTTGAGGGGGGTGTGTGACTCTACAAGGTAAAGCTGCAGGAGTAGGGTGAGGGGATTAGGAAGCTGTTAAAAGATAAAATTGTTCTGAAGCCGAGTTTCACTTGGAGAGCTCCTTACAGTTTGCAGAACTGTTTCTGAAGCTGCTTACTGATGGCTGTGTTGCTTTGCATGTTGTGCTGAGAGGACCTCCTATGCTTTGCACTGTTATCGAGGAGCACATAAAGAATGTTGGTATCTTATCCTGATAGAGATCAGCCTTGAATCCAAAGCAGCTTTCCAATGGAGAAACTGCCAAAGAGATTTACTCCATATGGGACTTAGTATCTAAGAGTTCCATTTAATGGTCCTAAGATCTTTAAACTTAATGGACATGAGTATTTAAGGTGATTACGTTAGAGAACTTGGCATGTAGTAAGTATCCTCCTGTGCTAAGCGTGGAGCAGAGAACCACACTGATGCAGTGGGGGCAGGGGGAGAAAGTTCATAGATAGATTGTCTGCTGGGAACAGGGAAATTATGGCTTGCTTTCAGTACTCATGGAAATGAAGGTTTTATTGAATTGAAAAAAAAATTTATGAGGCTGATGGCCCGTCAAAATGGCAATGCTTAACTGGAACCTAGAATAGCTACCTTTTTTTTTTTAATTATTTTTTTTTCTCAGTTGTGTAGATCTGTAAAGTTTATAAGATAGTTACGTGTTGATACTTGAGTTTTTTAATCATGCAATCTACTCTGAGGCCTTGGCTATTTGAATAGGCTGTGCCTGGGAGTCAAGCTCTGAAATAGTTACTGTGTGGGCAGTCATGAAGGCCAAGGAGAAGGGTAAAGACATCATAGTTTTCAAACAAAATTGCTCTGGGATTTCTCCTATCATTAGATTAGATAAATGATTAATTCAGTGTTGAAATGAAGAGCCTCTGCAACAGGGATTTAAGAGTTTTCAGGAATAAAAGACTGATTACTGCTGGGAGCTCATCCCCAGCCTTATCTCAGCATAGTGCTTTTGTGCCCTGCAACGATGACACCTTTGCAAAAAAGTGGTTTGGCTCCATTCCAGTCTTGTTCTTCCCTCAGTGCTTGGTTTGTGTTGGTTGTTCCTAATTCTGACTGTGCTGAGTCTGTTTCACGTGATCTTTAAATAAAGACATGAGTTATTAGTCAAAGCTTTGCTGTTTCTCACATTTGTAAACTTTCTCTTGGTAGGAAATTGTAATATTGCTGTAAAAGACTATAAGACATGAGT